CATTGAAAAGGACCCGGAGAGGATCGAAACATTTGCGTTAATTATTGTATATTGTGATTATTAACATGATTGTAATTTAATACGCGTTTACAATTTATTTTTCCTCTCTTTGCGTCAACTTTAACGTCGGTGGCCTTACTTGCCTTTTTGTTGTTTATATATATATATATATATATACATACATGTATATATATTGTTACGTCCAGGGGAATTCACGATTCTTTTCTTTCCCGTACCCGGTGCACACGTGCACGATTTCCAGAGCCGATAATAATAGCTAAATTAAAGCAGGATTCTCAGTACATGCCCTAAAATAACAATCGGATATTAACGGGTTATAAAAGTAGCATCCGGCTAAATAAAGCGGCATTCAGTCAAACAAATTTGATATTTTCTTAAAACTCATAAAATCAAAAAAATAAAGGAAACTAATCATAAAACGCGAGTGATCGGATATCGGATGTTACGATTCTTTTCTTTCCCGTATCCGGTGCACACGTGCACGATTTCCAGAGCCGATAATAATAGCTAAATTAAAGCGGGATGCTCAGTACATATCCTAAAATAACAATCGGATGTTAACGGGTTATAAAAGTAGCATCCGGCTAAATAAAGCGGCATTCAGTCAAACAAATTTGATATTTTCTTAAAAACTCATAAAATCAAAAAATAAAGGAAACTAATCATAAAACGTGAGTGACCGAATATCGCAAGAGGGTAGTAACAGTCATCCCTTGTGCAATACTGAGAATCCTAAATCCCCCGTTTTGGAAGATGCTCTTCTATTCGCGAACGAACGTAATAAAATCCTGATTTGCTACATTTGTTCTAAAATGCTCATAAGTAGGGGCAGAGAGGAGACCATGGAAATCTAACAAAGATTTCTATTCGTCAACCTCCCTTATTCCTCACGCTAGGAGAGGGTAATCCAAAACGATATATAAGCGCGAACTTTGAACAACACTTGTCAGAAAAATTCGTTCAGTCAATCATTAATCATTCATTCATTGACTCAGTATCTCAAAAGTTTCGAGACATATCAACCTTCATATAGAGTCAGTGCGAATATTCGGTCGTTCCTGTCAGCTATACACATAACAAGTCAACCCAGAACACCGCCTCGTCTTCGACACGAAAAGGGGATCCAGCAGCCATTACGACTATATTCTCCACTTGTAATCGCCTTTCGCAAATAGTAAGTCTTTTCTTTTATCTTCAAAGTTCCTTCCCCTCCCCCGTCTACTTCCTTTACTTATAATAATCGTTTCCCTAGTGGAACCCACGAGGAAATCCGCTAGAGCCCACGCTAAGCGACTTCGACACCGTAATCGACGTACCCGCCGACTGTTGGCTCGGGCTGCGGCCGATTCTTCATTTGCGCTAGACTTAAGTCAAATAAACGCGGATCTCCCTATTACGCGGATCTTTTTAAATAATTTTCAAGGAGACACGCGAGACTCCTCACATCCGCCCCCTCGCACTCCTTCCCCTAATTACTCCCCATACTTGCTTCCCGGAACTCTTCCTCCCAGTTACTCCCCGGTGTATGACACACAATCTGACCTTCAGTCTGATTTCCCGCCGCTATCACTCTTTCCTTCTCCACCCGATGCAACCCTCCCCGACTCTCATTTCTTCTCTCCTCCCGTTCTTCCTCCCCCCGTCTTTTCCGACATCGATCTTAGCGATCGAAACGTCGCGGTAATTCTCGGTACAACCTATGCTCCGTACCCATACCCCATCCTCCCGGACCAATTCACCTTGAGGCCTGGTCCTATTCACATACCTACCCTCAAAGCTTTTCTCTGCCCCTTCTGATACCTGCATCCCCTGTTTTACTCCCTTCACCCATTACCCTATCGCTATCCCCGTAGAATTCTTCAGAGAGAGATATCCTCCTGATCCTGACCAGACTCCCTCCGTCTCGCATACACACACACACGATTATACTTAATATTGTATTTAACCAAGATTAAGATATTTACATAAATACTTAACTTGATATATAAATGTTTTCGTTTGGCTTTTATAATGTGTAATAAACTTAATTAAATCTATTTTTTTTTGCATTCAACTTAATCGATTCCCCCTCGTTACCCATGCTCCTGAATCGCACTTGATCCCGTCCCGGGTAAAAAGGATTAAGTTCCTTTACCGAAAAGGGGACCGACAAGCGGGCATTTGGACCAGAAATAGCGTAAAATCGACTCTTGTGGTTGTTGACCTATCTTTGGCTCACCCGCAGGCTCGCTCGACCCGAGACACTTGCCCTTAAGGCACCTGTTCTCGGGATACACGTGTTACGCCCTTCCTTCGGCCCATCTTTCCTCGGGCCTGGACGTAATAATATATATATATATATACAGAGTGTTTCGGACCACTAGTACCACCCATTTAAAAACTAGAGAAGTGGTTATTTAAAAAAAGTAAAAACATTTTCTTTACAAATCGAGTGCGCTCTATCGAATAGTGATATTTTTAACTTCTGGTTCCGGCCGGAAATAGACGATTCAGACCGAAAGTGCATTTTTTTAAATGGAACCCTCTCTTTTTCATTGCATATTCTTGTAGCCTTACATCCAGAGCTTTCCAAAACACTAATAAATTATTTTTCCATAAAGTGCTTTTAGAATTATGAGACTTAAAATCATTTCTTAATTTTACATAAACCATAAAATATCTTGTAAAATATTCATTTTTCGATTATCTTACCTTAATACTTTTATGTAGAAAATAATGAGTGGAATCAATTGGTGTAAAGAAAACATACAGTTGTTTTTAAGAAAAAATATGGAATTGTTAATTCAAATTGTTTTTCAATTTCAAGAAGTTGAAAATATCACCATTCGATAGACCGCACCCGATGATTATAAAGAAAATGTTTTTACTTTTTTTAAATAATCACTTCTCTAGTTTTCAAATGGGTGATACGAGTGGTCTGAAACACCTTGTATATATGTTAGGCTCAAAGACCGAAAACGCTCACTGAACGAAAAAACCGATCACAACACGTTTCTGACTTCTCAGATTCAGCCACAACGCGAAATTTGCGTCGAGGCACTTTCCAAAACGCTCATAACGCGTTTAGGCATATTCAAAAAGGCCACAAAGCGAAATTCGTGTTGAGGTTCTTTTGATAATCGACCAAAACGCGTTCTGGCAATGTAAAAATGCCACAACGCGTTGTGGACGCTTATTGATGCAGCCATGACGCGATGTAAATACAATCTATCAACGGCCGACAGATTCATGCACATTCTTGTTCGTTTTTTATTTAGCGTATTGCTAGAGTGTGGACGTTGTTGGTTTGCGTGCTAATTATGTGGTACGAAATATTACTTCAAAGTAAAAGAAGCTCAGTTACTTCGAAAAAATAAGCAATCGGTATCATCAAAGCAGTATCGTCGTATAAAGCGATACGACATCTTAAAACTTGGTGATACTGAAAAACTGATTGAAAGTGGTTCTGAAGGTATGGGCGATTCTAAAATTCGCTATTTCTGTAAGGCAGATGAGCTATTTGATGTATTGGAGGCAGCACATCTCAACGTGGAACACAAAAGGACAAAAGGTAGTTGTATTTAAATCTTTGAAATTTGACGTTTATTGATATAGCAATAATGCAATAAAAATAAAATTATAAAGAAAAAAATTATAAAGAAAATTAACAGTTAGCCTTATTAATCCTATAGCTCTTACAATAAAATTTAAAACAATTAAGTTTCTGTGATAGAAGTTTTCATTCATCAGTATTTTTTATTAATAATAATATAAAATACTGTTTAGAGTTGCTCTCTTTGTGAGAATTCTTTTATTAAAAACAAATTTGCCATCAATTGACAAAATCATTTACAAATAAATTTTTTTATTTGACTAAAATCTACGATACTTTTTTTCATACGTAAGTATCAAGGATTCATAAAATAAAATAATTGACGTTATTTTGTTATAACAATTGACGTTAATTCAATTAAAATAAAACAAATTGTCTTTTTGACTGTAAAAGAAAATACAGTTATCTTTATTAATACTATGGTTCTTTTAATCAAAGAAGATTTTGTAATAGAAATCTTCATTAATTAGTATTTTTCTAATAATAAACATTGTTCATAATATATATTGGTCCCTTTGTGGGAATTATTAATAAATTATTTATTTTTGCAAGAACTATTACTGACATTTGGAATTGCACTTTATATTTTTAGAGAGACATTTGCATTTTTTGTCAATGCAGTATCTTTTACAGTGGCAGCTTATAAAACCTTGCTTACTTCCAGATGACAACATAGAAGCTGAACATAGAAGAGTTAGTGAAGTACGTCTTGCAGTTCAATAAAGTTGTTCTCAGCAACTATAAATTCATTGCGAGCATAAAATCGCTCAAGGAGCCCTTCTTTGGTACCTAATTGATAAAGCCTTGATGAATTAATTCCGGCAACAACAGCTAAGATATTTCTGGGAGCTGCGCGTCCTTTATCAACGTCAGGCACTCTGACCACTACACTAGTTCGAATATCAACTTTAGGAAATTTTGAATTAGAAAATGAAATCATTTTTTGTGCTTGTTGTTTTTGACCAGATTTAGCACATTCTCCCTCAACGCTGATACTGTTCTTCCTTATACAGAGCTTGCAAGTAACGTTCTGTCCGAAACCCTCATTATTCTCATCACTTTCTCCGCAAATAACGTAAATATATTGATGACATCCTGAACACTTGTAAGCTCCTGAAGTTTCGTTTTCACAAATCACACAATAAATTTTGCTGTCATCTTTTTTTTTTGATTGTTGTGTAACCTCTCCAGCTTGAGGTATATTTTTATCTTCACTAGATTGTTCGTTAACTTCTTCTTCATCAGTCTTATCTTGATCATTGTTCTTTACCGAAGAAAGAAGTTGTTCCAATTCTTCTTCAGTTTCTATAGAAGAATACATGTCACTGGAAAGAGAGGAATCCGCAAGTCCGATCTTTTGCGCTGATCCAAACAGCTCATAAGGACCTCATAAGGACTCATAAGGACTTGTCTTAATTACCGAATGGAGAGCTCGATTCTTCTTACTTTGAATAAATCGGAGTCCTTCAGACCATTTTTCCGTATTATTGTCAGCCATCCACGCTACCAGCATGTCACGAATATCTTGGTTCGACCTTTCAACCGAACCCTGACTCTGAAAATGTCGCGATTTACCATTAACAAGCTTCATTCCAGGCCACATATCGGCCAAACTTTTAATTATTTTATTTATGAATTCACGACCATTGTCGCTTTGAAGTATACATGGGGCACCGAATAAACAAAATATGTCTATGAATTGGTAGGCCACTTCCTCGGCAGTCTTCGTCTTAAGAGGACGAAGAATTGTGAATTTGGTTAAATGATCTTGATAATTCATAATGAATCGATAATCTTTATCTGACTCTGACTGCATGTCAATCAAGTCCACTTGACATCGAGAGTTCATGTAGTCAGATAAAATAAGTTGTACAACTAATCCATGTTTTGGTATCTTTTTCTTCAATTGACACTGTTCACACAAAGACAGAAAAAGATTTATTATTTGATGAGTAACATTACAATATTTCTTTTTTAGTTCAGCTTCCATAACTGAAACATAAATAAAAATAATGTAGAAAAATATTAGACAAACACAAATTATTAATTATTTATTGACTATGAAACTAAAAACTTTACTAACCTACCTTTACTACATACCTAACATGTCTAACTATACTTCGCGATATCAATCTTGTGCCGAAAACATCTTGGAATTCGTAATATAACGTAAATATGTATCAAATCTAGTCAAATTTCAAAAATGTACCTACCTCTTTTTCTTTTATGTCCCACGTTGAGATGTGCTGCCTCCAATACATCAAATAGCTTATCCGCCTTACAGAAATAGCGAATTTTAGAATCGTCCATGCCTTCAGAACCACTTTCAATCAGTTTTTCAGTATCATCAAGTTTTAACATGTCGTATCGCTTTATACGACGATACTGCTTTGACGATAGTGATTGCTTATTTTTTCGAAGTAACTGAGCTTCTTTTACTTCTTGAAATAGATATTTCGTACCGCTCGTTATCGATAAAAACACTCCGATCAGTACTTGTTTTCTTCAACTCACTTAATTTATCATAAAAAATCTTCTTTTTATCAGACATGATTAGCACGCAAACCAACGATGTCCACACTCTAGCAATACTAACATAAATAAAATGACGAACAAGAATGTACGTGAATCCGTCGGCCGTTAATAGATTACATTTGTCTTATATCGCGTCATGGCTGCATCAATAGGCGTCCACAACGCGTTGTGGCATTTTTACATTGCCAGAATGCATTTTGGTCGATTATCAAAAGAACCTCAACACGAATTTCGCTTTGTGGCCTTTTTGAATATGCCAAAATGCGTTATGAGCGTTTTTAAAAGTGCCTCGACACAAAATTCGCGTTGTGGGTGAATCTGAGATGTCTGAACGCGTTGTGACCGGTTTTTCCGCCCAATGAGCGTTTTCGATCTTTGAGCTTAACATATATACTAGGACTGTGAATTAATTTTGACTTATAATAGATCACGTAACTTATGTTATATCGCATCGGATACTTCTGTAACTATATTCATGTCAAAGCTCTGTCATTAGGCTTTACTTTTTATTATGTCATTTTGCTGAAGTGTAAACAACATTTTTTCTGCTCCGAAGATGTCGAATTACGAGCCAACAAAACACCATTCGCGAGAAGTTTTACTTTTCCTGTTTAATTCAAAGAAAAGTACTGCTGAAAGTCATCGAGTGCTGTTGGAAACTTACGGTGAACATAATCCATCGATAAAAACGTGTGAGTATTGGTTTCGACGTTTTAGAAGTGGTGATTTCGATACAGTTGACAAAGAACGCCCTGGTCAACCGAAAAAGTTCGAAGATGATGAATTGGAAGTATTACTCGAGATTCATGTCAAACGCAAGATGAACTTACTGAATCGTTGAATGTTGATCGCACAACAGTTTCCAAACGTTTAAATGCACTCAGTATAATTCAAAAGCAAGGAAATTGGGTGCCATACAAATTGAAGTCGAGAGATGTTGAACGGCGGTTTTTCACGTGCGAACAATTGCTTCAACGGCAAAAAAGAAAGGGTTTTTTGCATCTTATCATCACTAGCGATGAAAAATGGATATGCTAAAGATAATCCTAAGCATAGAAAATCGTGGGGTTTGCCCGGTCATGCATCAACATCGATGGCAAGGCCGAATATTCATGATTCGAAGCACATGCTCTGTATTTGGTTGGACCAGCTTGGTGTTGTGTACTATGAGCTGCTTCAACCGAATGAAACCATCACTGGTGAACGCTACCAAACACAATTAATGCGTTTGAGCCATGCATTGAAGGAAAAACGGCCGCAATTCGAGCAAAGGCACGATAGAATAATTTCTCAACATGACAACGATCGAACACATGTTGCTCGTGTAATCAAAAAATACTTAGAAACGCTGAAATGGGATGTTTTATCCGACCCGCCATATTCACTAGATATTGCTCCATCGGATTACTACTTGTTCCGATCCATGGAAAATGGCCTGGCTAAGCAGCACTTCCAATCTTACGAAGATACGAAAAATTGGATCGATTTGTGGACTGCATCAAAAGATGAATTGTTCTTTCGACGCGGAATCCGTATGCTGCCAGAAAAAATGGGAAAAAGTAGTGGATAGCGATGTACAATACTTTGAAAAATAATAATGTACACAATTTTTCACAATAAAGCCTTGAATTTACAAAAACTACCTCAAAATTAATTTACAGTCCATATACAGGGTGAGGCATCTAAAACAGGCCACCTGAATAACTCCGTTAGTAAGCCGAATACAAAAAAATTGTTCAGACAAAAGTTGTATGGTTTCAAGGGGGACATATGATGGTGTCATTAGTTTAATCTTGAAGAGCCACCCGAAGGTCACGTGAAGGTCAGCTCCAACTTTTTAAATGGAACACCTCATATGCTTTTGCATATTCTTGTAGCTCATCTCAAGAGCTTTCCAAAACACTACAATTATGTTAGTTTTCATTAAATACTTTCCAAGTTATGAGGCTTGAAATCATTTTTTAATTTTACATAAACCGTAAAATATCTTGTAAAATATTCATTTTTCGATTATTTTACCTTAATACTTTTATGTACAAAATAATGAGAAGAATCAATTGGTGTAAAGAAAATACATAATTGCTTCGAACAAAAAAATGTAATTTGCAATTAACAATTACATTTTTTTGTTCGAAGCAATTATGTGTTTTCTTTACACCAATTGATTCTTCTCATTATTTTGTACATAAAAGTATTAATGTAAAATAATCGAAAAATGAATATTTTACAAGATATTTTACGGTTTATGTAAAATTAAAAAATGATTTCAAGCCTCATAACTTGGAAAGTATTTAATGAAAACTAACATAATTGTAGTGTTTTGGAAAGCTCTTGAGATGAGCTACAAGAATATGCAAAAGCATATAAGGTGTCCCATTTAAAAAGTTGGAGCTGACCTTCACGTGACCTTCGGGTGGCTCTTCAAGATTAAACTAATGACACCATCATATGTCCCCCTTGAAACCATACAACTTTTGTCTGAACAATTTTTTTATATTCGGCTTACCAACGGAGTTATTCAGGTGGCCTGTTTTAGATGCCTCACCCTGTATATATGGACATCCTGAATATATATATATATATATATATATATATATATATATATATGCACGGTGTCTTTGAGCATGTGCTCACTCACTTGTAAGATGGTAGAACGCAGTAAATTAAATAAAATAATCCTATTCTATGTAACGATTTTTGTAATAACAATCGAAATATTAATTATTGATAAATGTAGAAAGGTATAATCGCTAGTCGAATAATCAAAGGATTATTGAAAAAATTATATTCGACCAAACTAGCCAGAAATTTCCCTTATTTAATACGACGTTTCGATCATATGGTTGTGGTCCTTATCAAGTATATACTGGAAGGATTTAAAATACATTAAATTAACGGATTGAATACATAAAAAGCACAAAACAGAATAAAGAGTAAACAAATTTACCGATGAAATATCAGGAGGCAAACATAGCACTTGTAAAAACCATCACAAGTCACAAATGAAAAACGTTATATAATTAAATTCAAAAAACGAGAGAGACAGATGCGTCCATGTGAGACTTCGTCGAAAAACTAAACGAATCTCGAGGGAGAAACACAACTAAGTGACCTTTAGTATTTTGTCATAAATATTATTTAGATTATCTGTGTCTGTCTGTAAGTTGATGAGATTATCAGATCTCTTAATAAAAAACATCTCAGCAATCTCTCTTTTCCGAACATACGTTTCGCTATGTAAGATGTCGGATTTCAACCAATCAAAATCGTGTCCAGATTCCAATCTGTGTTTGGTAATTACGGAGTGATTAGAATCATGTAACTTTATATTATTACAATGTTCCTTCACACGTGTACGTAGATGTCTTTTTGTTTGACCTATGTATGATATGTTGCAATCTTTGCAATTTAATTTATATACAACGCTCGTTATTATGTAATCTGTCTTTACCGCATCTAATTAAGTTATTTAGTTTTTTTGTTACTTTGTAGACGACTTTGTTGAAACCACTGTTTCGTAGAAGACGGTAGAGATCTTGACTCGTATTCTCTACGTATGGTATAGTAATAAAATAAGTTTTATCTGGATGAGTAGAATTGGCGTCATCAGTGTCATTGCAGTCGCGATTGTTTAAAAAATTGATTCTTTTTCGAATGTGTCTATGAATAAAGTGTTCAGGAAAACAATTATTAACTAACGCGTCATATATTAACTTAATATTCTCTTGTTTAAAGCAGTCGTCAGATAGTAAAATGGCATGGTCAACTAAATTATAAATCGTATTAATTTTATATTTTAACGGGTGATTCGAATAAAAATTAATATATCTCCCGGATCATGTAGGTTTCCTAAACCAATTGGTGATAAGTTTTGTTCCCAACCGAATGATTTTAACATTGAGAAAACTAATCGAAGAATCAATTTCTTTCTCGTACGTGAATCTTAAACGTTCGTGGTAGTTATTAAAAATGGTTAAAATATCGTCAACTTTTGTGCGTGGTACAATTGTAAAAACGTCGTCCACATATCTGTAATACATGGGTACGGTAAAATTCAGTGAGTTTAGATATTGTGTCTCCAAATCGTCCATCACCATATCTGCCAAGATAGGTAAAAGTGGAGAGCCCATGGGTGTGCCGAAGATCTGTTCGTAAAACTGTCCGTTAAAGGAGAAGCAAGTTGAATCCAAAATCAAGTCAATTGCAAATAAAAATTGCGATAAGTTAAATTTCGTGTTTTTTGCAATGTCGTCCCAGCGCTTTTTAATGGCGTTTTCAACTAACTTCCTTGGAACGTTTGTAAATAACGAAGTCACATCCAAAGAAATCATGATGTTGTCTTCATTAATGACTGTATTCTTAATGTTTTGAGCAAAGGACCAACTATCTTTAACAAATAAATTTGGTTTCTTAATCGATTTATACAAAATGTTGTGGATGTAACTCGAAACGTTATATACAGAGCTTCCTAAAGCGGATACAATGAATCTCAATGGAAAACCGTCTTTGTGGATCTTCGGCAGACCGTAGCATCGCGGTAAATTACCGTTCGTACAATTTTTAGTTTTTATATGTCAATTCACTGATCAAATTATTTTAATGGCAAGGCAAAGTTGTCACCCAAGCTTTTTAAATTTGTCAAACTTTCGCTTAATACTATTACTGCGGAACTCGACGTTAATTTTTAAATTATTAATGTGTGTAGGTAACAAGTCATGTTGTTGATCGGTGTCCGATTTTTTGAGCTTGGGTGACAACTTTGCCTTGCCATTAAAACAAGATGAGCGAATCGATCGCACGAATTACGTGTTGGATGTCATTAAGAACTTTGAAGCGAAGAGTAACATTCTGCCTACTGACACTATCGAAACAACTAGGATTTCAGTGGCTAACATCCTTCAAAGATTTCTTTTCACAAAAAAACACATTAATCATCCAGATAGATGCATTCTCGATTCGTTCGCTGTTTCTAAAAAATTCATACGGGATAATGACAAGGATATCATGGTCACACGCGCTGACAAGGGCCAAATTACCGTTGTCATGGATAAGAAAGATTATTTTAATAAGATGGATCTGCTGCTGGGTGATCAAGCCACTTACAAAGTTTTGAATAAGGATCCGTTAAACAAATTGACCAATAAGATCAACGATTTGGTCAAGTCTTGGAAGAAAAATAACTTGATAGGTGAATTAACATACAGAAATCTAATTTGTACGAACGGTAATTTACCGCGTTGCTACGGTCTGCCGAAGATCCATAAAGATGGTTTCCCGTTGAGAATTATTGTATCCGCTTTGGGAAGTCCGGTTTATAATATTTCTACATATATTCATAACATTCTTCACAAATCGATTAAGAAATCTAACTTACATATTAAAGATGGATGGTCCTTTGTTGACAGCATTAAGAACACTTGCATTGAAGAAGATAACATAATGATTTCATTGGATGTTGCTTCTCTATTCACCAACGTTCCAAAAGAATTAGTTGAGAATGCCATAAGAAAGCGTTGGGTGGACATCTCTAAAAATACAAAATTTAATTTGTCACAGTTTTTACATACTATAGAACTGATATTGAACTCAACTTGCTTTTCTTTCAACGGACGTTTTTATGAACAGATCTTCGGCACTCCTATGGGTTCCCCACTATCACCTATTTTAACAGATATGGTGATGGATGATCTGGAGACGCAATGTTTAAATTCACTTAGTTTTGCGGCGCCTATTTATTATAGATATGTAGATGACGTTTTCGCAATCGTGCCACGTACGAAAGTCGACGAGATTCTAACGATTTTCAATAATTACCATGAACGTTTACGTTTCACACACGAAATTGATTCGTCGATCAACTTTCTTAATGTAAAAGTCATTAGGTCAGGCAATAAACTTATCACTAATTGGTTTAGAAAACCTACATGGTCTAGTAGATATATTAACTTTTATTCGAATTACCCGCTTAAGTATAAAATTAATACGATTTACAATTTAGTCGACCATGCTATTTTATTATCTGACGATTGCTTTAAGCAAGAAAATATCAAACTAGTTTATGACACTTTAATCAATAATTGTTTTCCTAAACACATCATATATAGACACATTCGAAAGAGAATCAATTTTCTAAATAATTGTGACCGTAATGACAATACTGACGACAATCTTACTCGTGTAGATAAGGCTCAAATTATTATAATACCATACGTAGAGAATACGAGCCATGATCTGCACTGCCTTTTGCGAAATAACGGTTTTAGCGTTGTTTACACAATAACAAAAAAACTAAATAATTTAATTAGACGCGGTAAAGACAGATTACATAATAACGACAAGACAAGCGTTGTATATAAATTAAATTGCAAAGATTGCAACATATCATACATAGATCAAACAAAAAGACATCTACGTACACGTGTGAAGGAACATTGTAATAATATAAAGTTACATGATTCTAATCACTCCGTAATTACCAAACACAGATTGGAATCTGGACACGATTTTGATTGGTTGAAACCCGACATCTTACATAGCGAAACGTATGTTCGGAAAAGAGAGATTGCTGAGATGTTTTTTATTAAGAGATCTGATAATCTCATCAACTTACAGACAGACACAGATAATCTAAATAATATTTATGACAAAATAATAAAGGTCACTTAGTTGTGTTTCTCCCTCGAGATTCGTTTAGTTTTTCGACGAAGTCTCACATGGACGCATCTGTCTCTCTCGTTTTTTGAATTTAATTATATAACGTTTTTCATTTGTGACTCGTGATGATTTTTACAAGTGCTATGTTTGCCTCCTGATATTTCATCGGTAAATTTGTTTACTCTTTATTCTGTTTTGGTCTTTTTATGTATTCAAACCGTTAATTTAATGTATTTTAAATCCTTCCAGTATATACTTGATAAGGACCACAACCACATGGTCGAAACGTCGTATTAAATAAAGGAAATTTCTGGCTAGTTTGGTCGAATATAATTTTTTCAATAATCCTTTGATTAATTATTGAAGTCGGACGAATGAGAGAAGCGCTCGATCGCTTGAGCTATAGCACGACCCATCGTGTCAGACATTGCCTGCCGGCATGCGGCGAGAGGAGGGACAGCGCGCCGCTATCCGTGGTTACCGCTATCACTATCCGCCAATTGCGCAGAGGCCGTAGATGCCGACCGACCGCTCTCTCGCAGGTACCACTCGGCTACGCGTCGTAGATACCGCCGAGAACGGACTTGGGGCGTCGCGAACCGCGATGAAGCCGTAGGTATCGCCCGACCGCTCTCTCGTAAGTACCGCCCGGTTACGTGTCGTAGGTACCGCCCGGCTACGCGTCGTAGGTACCGCCGAGAACGGACTTTGTGCGTCGCGAACCGCGATGAGGCCGTAGGTATCGCCCGACCGCTCTCTCGTAAGTACCGCCAGGCTACGCGTGGGGGGGGGCGGGGGGGGGGGGGGGGGGCGTGGTAGCCGGCTACGCGTCGTTAGTACAGCCGTGAACGGTCATGGTGCGTCGCGAGCAGCGCAGTGGCCGTACCTGCCGCCCGACCGCACTCCCGTAGGAACCGCACGGCCACGCATCGCAGATACCGCCCGGCTACGCTTCATAGATACCGCCGAGAACGGACATGGTGCGTTGCAAGCAGCACGGAGGCCGTAGAATTCGCGCGAGGTACCACTCGTAGGTACTGCCCGATAGCTCACTCGTAGTTACTGCCCGGCCACGCGTCGTAGATACCGCCCGGCTACGCGTCGTAAGAACCGTCGAGAACGGACTTGGAGCGTCGCGAGGAGTGGCACCAGTTTGGCCACGTTAATATTGACCACCGTCCCGATTGACCACGTTGAAATTGAACACGTTGCGATTGACCATGTTGCTATTGACCACGTCCCGATAGACCACCGTCCCGATTGACCATCGTCCCGATTGACCACCGTCCCGATTGACCACCGTCCCGATTGATCACAGTCCCGATTGACAACGTTTCCGATTGACCACCGTCCCGATTGACCACCGTCCCGATTGACCACGATCCCGATTGGCCACCGTCACGATTGACCACGGTCCCGATTGACCAAGGACCCAATTGACCACAAAAAAAATTAAAAAATTAAATTAATATAACTAGTTATAAATATAATAATAAAAAAATAATTTAAAAAATAATTTAAATATTTACATAACGTATGATTTAGTTGCCCACAGTTTTATAAACCTATGTGAAATTCCAGTTTGCGTTGCAAAGTACACGCACATTTGCACAACCTCCCCACCCCCCGCCGCCACCATTCACCCCAACCACTCCCCACTCCACCCTGTTGCAAACCCATATGAAATTCGGGACGGTGTTCAATCGGGACCGTGGTCAATCGGGACGGTGGTCAATCGGGACGGTGGTCAATCGGGACGTGTTCAATCGAGACGGTGGTCAATCGGAACCGTGGTCAATCGGGATGTGGTCAATCGGGACGTGGTCAATCGCAACGTGGTCAATTTCAACGTGGTCAATCGGGATGGTGGTCAATATTAACGTGGCCAAACGGGACGCTCCCCGTCGCGAGCAGGATTAATGGATTAAAGCAGTAACTTAAGGAATTGACCAATCACATTCATGCATTAAAAGAATACTTGACTGTGTTTGTCCAATGTATGGAGTTACAGCTTTAATTCATTAATTCTACTGCCGTTGTAGACGATGCTTTAGGGTCATAGTATAAGTTTGTACGGCGTAAGATTCAAGAAATTCACCAATCACAGTCAAATATTAAGAGTATACTCGATTGTGATTGATCAATTTCTTGAGTTTTACGCCTTACAATCTTATGCTACGGCCATTGCAGACGAATCTTTAATTCCCGATCAACAACAGATAATTTAAGCTCTAATCCTTAAGTAATTGTCCAATCACAGCCGAGCATTCTCTTCGTAAGCCGCGTTCCGAAATTATTACCAGTATACTGCAAATTTTATAGCCCTCGTTACGTATATTATATATTTTCAGTGTTGATAGTAAACTGGCAGCAATTTCGGAACACGGCCATACTTGACTGTGATTGGTCAATTTCTTGAGTCTTACGCCTTACAACATAATACTACGGCCATTGTAGACGACTCTTGAAGCGTCGTCTACACTGAGATTTTAAGGAGACTAAAGACGTAAGACTTAAGAAATTGACCAATCACAATCGAATATTTTCTTAATACTTGACTGTAATGGGTGAATTTCTTAAAATCTTACGCCTTAAGTCTCCTTAAAATTTCATTGTAGACGACGCTTAATGTAGCGTCTATAATAAAATTTTAAGACGTAACTCTTAAGAAGTTGACCAACCACAGTCTAGTATTATGGGAATATTCGATTGTGTTTGGTGAATTTCTTAAGACATACGCCTTAATATATCATTGTAGATGACGCTTAAAGGCAATTCTACGGTGGCCGTAGCATAAGGTGAAAAACTCAAGAAATTGACCAATCACAGTCAAATATTAAGAGAATACTCGACTGTGATTGATCAATTTCTTGAATTTTATGACTTACAATCTTATTCTACGGCCATTGTAGACAACCCCTTAATCCCGATTTACAATAGATAATTTAAGCTCTAAGCCTTAAGAAATTGACCAATCACAGCCGAGCATTCTCTTCATAAGTCATATTCCGAAATTACTCTCTGTACTGCAAATTCCTATAGTGAACGTTACGTATATTATATATTTTCAGTGTTGGCAGTAAACTGGCAGCAATTTCGAAACACGGCCATACTTGACTGTGATTGGTCAATTTCTTGAGGTTTACGCCTTACAACCTTATGCTACAGCCGTTGTAGACGACTCTTGAAGTATCGTCTACACTGAAATTTTAAAGAGACTTAAGGCGTAAGACTTAACAAATTGACCAATCATAGTCTAGTATTAAGAGAATATTCGATTGTGATTGGTCAATTTCTTAAGTGTTACGCCTTAAAATCTCATTGTAGAAGATGCTTAACATGTTGTCTACAATGGCAGTAGGATTTACGGATTAAAGCAGTAACTTAAGGAATTGACCAATCACATTCAAGCATTAAAAGAATACTCGACTGTGATTGCCCAATTTATGGTGTTACAGCTTTAATTCATTAATTCTACTGCCGTTGTAGACGATGCTTTATGGTCGTCCACAGTGGCCGTAGCATAAGGTTGTAAGGCGTAAGATTCAAGAAATTAACCAATCACAGTCAAATATTAAGAGAATACTAGACTACTATTGATCAATTTTTTGAGTCTTACGCTTTACAACCTTATGCTACGGCTATTGTAGACGATTCTTCAAACGTCGACTACACTGAGATATTAAGGAGACTTAAGGCGTAAGACTTAAAAAATTGACCAATCATGGTCTAGTATTAAGAGAATATTCGATTGTGATTTGTCAATTTCTTAAGTCTTACGCCTTAAAATCTCATTGTAGAAGACGCTTAACATGTCGTCTACAATGGCGGCAGGATTATCGGATTAAAGCAGTAACTTAAGGAATTGACCAATCACATTCAAGCATTAAAAGAATACTCGACTGTGATTGGTCAATTTATTGAGTTACAGCTTTAATTCATTAATTCTACTGCCATTGTAGACGGTGCTTTAAGGTCGTCCTAAGTGGCCGTAGCATAAGGTTAT